TGGGTCAGCTTCTATTTCTTATCTGTTAGATCAGGATAATAAAACAGCCCTCCTAGGGTGACTAGGAGGAATGCAAGAAGCAATATATGTAAAGAGTACAAAATCCATTTAGCATGCCTTGGCTTTATTAACGTCTTTGGACAATGACCTGTTTTTTGGTGTCTCCTCCTGCTCAGGCTATGTGGTCACTAGAAATCTGTTTAGATGGGAAGGTGCCTGCCCCATGCTGTCCATCCAGGTGGCTGGGGTGGGGCCAGGCCAGCCAGCAGCCCCCCCACTCCTCAGGCTCAGGTTGAAGCCCTCCCACCTCAGCCACCCCCCAGGAGGAAGCCAGTGCCCTGAGGGAGTCACTTCAGCTACTTGTGCGTGCACATTCATGCCCTGGCAATCTTTGCCTATAGGTTTGGATGGCCACAAACACTAGGGTTGTAGGTGCCATTTCTCCTTAGGACCTTCAGGCCCTGTGCTAGGCATTTTCCACATTCATATCTCCATCTGAGAGGTATGATAAGGTGCCCCAGCATGCGTAGCTGGTTAGTGGCAAATCGAGAGTCAGACCCGTTTCCCTTTAGACGTGTCCCTGTGCTGCTCCAGCTTAGACCCTCGCGCCTGAAGGAGGAGCAGATGTGTGGCCAGAGAGCCCTCCCTTTGGAAGCTGTTGCAGTTATCCCTATCACTGCTGAGCTGGCAGACACCAGACTGGGACAGGAGTCAGAGGGGATAGTTGCAGGGCCCAGGCCCCGAATGTGAATTGTGAACCCCTGCTTCCTGGTCCATATGGGCCCTTGGCACCTTCAGCGGCAGCATCCCCCTTGCACCCTTAGCTCCATGTCTAAATCAGCCTTGCGCACCCTGCTTTTTGTGCCCGCACTGGGTGTGGAATCCGGAGCCCTTTCCAAGCACTGCTTGGGCTGGACCTACCCATGGCGCACAGGACTCCTCACCTCCTGAGATCCAAGCCCTCAGATTTGCTTTCCTTCCTCGCTTCCTTCCTTAAAATCCACTCTTAGCTTTTACTTTTGTATTCAAACGCCCTTCCATTGCAGTTTGAGGAAGATGGGCTGACCTGCTGCCTGCGGGGGGGGGGGCGGGGGGGGGGCGGGGGCGGGGGGGGGGAGAGAATTGGCTGGGGGCGCTGAGCTGGAACTTGCTCATCTGGCCACCGTCTGTCTCTGCAGGTGTCATGTGATTCTCCGAGGGTGCTGCTTTGTGAGTGGAAATGCTCTCAGTGGTGGAGAATGGACTGGACCCCCGGGCTGCCATCCCGGTAGGCAGCAAGGGAGGCTCAAGGGTGGGGAAGGGTGCACAGGACAGCCATTTCATTGATTTTTCTTGCTTTGAAATGAACGAGGACTGTCCGGAAAGTGAGGCCTCGGGTTGAGAAAAAGTTATAGCAGAGCAGGCTCTAAGGAGATCCTGCCCTTTCCAGAACATCTTATCGGTGATTAATGGGAATTTATAGAAAATGATGGTGATTTAATATAGGCTACCTGAGGACCAAGGATTTCTCCAAAGAAGGCATGCATATGACCCATAAGTACATGAAGAGATGCCTAACATCATCAGACATTAGGCAAATGCATTCAAAACCACGAGAGGCTTCTTCACACCTCTGGGATGGCTAGAATCAGAATGACATCAGAGTAAGTGGTGGCCTTGTAGAGAAATTCGAACCCTCGTGCATTGCTGGTGGGAATGTCAAATGGTGCAGCTGTCGTGGAAAACAGTTTGGCAGTTCCTCAAAAAGTTAAACTCAGAGTTACACATGACCCAGCAGTTCCACCCCTAGGTATATACCCAGGAGAACTGAAAACACATGTGCATGAATGTTCATAGCAGCATTATAGCCAAAAAGTAGGAACAACCCAAATGTCTAGTAATGGGTGAATGGGTAAATAAAATGTGGGGTGTCCACACAGTGGAATATTATGGGGCAGTAAAAAGGAAGTCCCGATACACGGCGACAGCATAGACAGACCTTGGGAATAGGCCCAGTGCAAGAAGCCAGACACAGAAGGCTGCACCCTGTATGCCTCCATGTCTACACAATGTCGAGAACTGGTAAATCCATCAAGGCGGAAAGTAGATGAGCGGTTGCCAGGGATTGGGGGAGAGGCGAATAGGGAGTGACTGCTTATGGGCACGATGTTTCTTTCTGAGGCAATGAACATGTTCTGAAATGAGGTAGTGGTTATAGTTTCACAATTCTGTGAATATACCCAAAACCATTGGACTGTATACTTTAAATGAGTGAATTTTATGCTATGTAAATTAGGTCTCATTAAAGCTGTTGTAAAAAAAAAAAAATTAGACTTAAGAGAACATTAACATGAATTGTTTGGGCTATCAATACATCAAAAAATGTCTTGGCAAAAAAAATATATCAGTACCCCTGGGTGGTGTAAGTATGTGATTTTCCTTTTCTTCTCTAGGCTTTGTCTTTGTTTTCTGTAATTCGCTTGTGTGAGTTTTGCTAGATAGACACACACATGGGTGCACGTGTGTGGTTGCTTCTGTACGTGGCAATGAGCAGGTACGTTGCAGGATCTCCTAAAGGCTGTGTTATGTCTGGCGCTGACTAGGTCATCAAGAAGAAGCCAGTGGGATCCGTGAAGGCATTGCAGAAGCAGTACGTGTCCTCGGACATGGTGGTCACTAGTGAAGACGGAGATGCCAGCTAGAGGCTGTCTTTATCCACGGCCTGCACGCCAAGCACATCCGCGCCGAGGCCGGAGGGAAAAGGAAGAAAAGCGCCCACCAGAAGCCTCTTCCTCAGCCTGTCTTCTGGCCCCTCCTGAAAGCCGTCACCCACAAGTGAGATCAGCTGGGGAGGTTTTGTTGTGGGGAGGAGCTTCACAGTGGGGGACACGGGGCTCTGCCTCGCCAGCTGTACGGGAAAGCACCAGAGACACTCTGTTCTAGAACAGAGATGGGTGAGGTAGGGCTTCTTGTTAGACCAAGCCTCAAGAGCCCCTCAGCCCTCAGGCAATGGCTGGGGGCTGCTGCACGCGCCCGGCTGGTCGCCGGTAGCCGGGCCACCGTTACCACACCGTGGCAAACTGAGGTGGTCGCACCCGAGAGTGTGCGGCCTGCAAAGCCGAAGAGCTTTGCTATGTGGCCTTTTACAAAAGAAGTTGGCCGACCCTGCCTTAGAATGGTTGAACATCTGTGTTGCTAAATATTATACTCGTAACCAGGGATGGCATTCTTCAAAAAAAGTGGAGTCCAGATCATCTGACTATTCAGCCTGGGATGGTTGTCTCCGGGGCCCTACCGCTGACCGCCTGGGCTGTGGAGCAAGCAGCTGGCCCTGGGCCTCGAAGGGCCACGTGATGCCACCTTCGGCCTGAGGTGCCTGGCCGGTCTCTGTCTTCCTGCTGCCGGCCGCTGCCCCGTCTCAGGCTCTTACCCCACTCCTGGGTGACAGTGGCTTTCTCATGGTCCTCCTTAGCTCATTCTCTCTCTTGAGCCCAGCCAGCGGGGCAGCCCTGACGGAGCTGAAGCTAACCAGAGCTCGCTAACGGAGCCCCGCGGAGCTTGGTCTGCACTCCCACGGGCGAGACGTGCGCAGGGCACCATGGTAGTCAGAAGAGGGGCATTTGCATCAGATCAAGGATTCAGGAACTCAGTTTGGTACGTGTGGGATATGATCTTATCCAGAGCGGCCCACCAAGACGCCTGCATAAGTGTGGTCAAGTCAGTTTGCTGTGTAAAAACCCGCAGGCTCTCAAATGCTAGCCTGGAGTCTGATTCACTAGGCGGGGGCCCCAGAATCTGCATCCTGACCAAGTTCCCAGGTGATTCTGATGCATAGCCAGGCGTGGGGACCACTGCCCCGCTTTGCCTTACCAGTTGCATCCTCAAGACCCTGCATTACCTGACTTTGCAACCCAGTCACCCACTCCTCCTCCCCAGCTTCTAATCGGAATGTGCTCGCCACTCCTGTTACAGAGCTGTTGCTTTCCTACCCTTGGTGCCTTTTTTCTGTCAGTCCTTTGTGCCTAGAAGGTTCTCCTTCCGTTTTTGCCTCTTGAGATCCCTTGCGGCCCAACCCAGATACTGCCTTTTCTATGGCATTTTTCTTACTGTGACCCGGAAATGATTGCCCACTCCCACCCCAGCTCTGCTGACAACAGGGTTCACCTCAGTGTGCCTGTGAAAGGTGGTTACCTGGATTGAGGGCAGGACCATGTCTTTACCCTGTATCTTCACAGCTCCAAAGACTTGCACGTAGGGGCTCATCAGATGTGTGCTGGATGAGCACATGATGTCAGGGGTCCCCCAGGTAGTTGTAATGAAAATGGTGGTTATCCTTTATGACAGCAACCTCAAAAAGTTGGGGGTTATAGCTTAATATTTCTAAATTTCCCATAGAGCACTATTATCCAAGATTTTTTCAAGCCTGTATATATGGGCAGTCGTTATTATGGGCTTTTGCTACCCAGTGGATAAAACGAGACCTTCGGTGATTGGAAGCCATTTCTTGACACAAGCCTGTCCTCCCCACCCCAGGCACATCATCTCGGAATTGGAGCACCTGATCTTTGTGAGCACGGACGTGGGCCGCTACCGGGCCTGGCTGAGGCTGGCCCTCAACGACGGCCTGATGGAGTGCTACCTGAAGCTGCTCCTCCAGGAGCCGGCCCACCTGTGCGAGTGTTATCAGCCCACAGCCCTGCTTCGAGATGCTGAGGAGGGGGAGTTCCTCCTCAGCTTCCTGCAGGGACTAACATCCTTATCCTTCGAGCTCTCCTACAAGTCCGCCATCTTAAACGAGTGGACGCTTACCCCTCTGGCTCTCTCTGGGCTTTGCCCGCTCTCTGAGCTTGACCCCCTCACTACCTCCGGGACAGAACTACCGCGGAGAGAGTCTCCGGATTCAAGTTCCCATTCCTCAGGCTCGGAGGACATCGAAGTCCAGCACTCAGGCCCCAAGATCCGACGGAACAGGAAGCTCACGGCCTCCTCCCTCAGCCTGGACACGGCCAGTTCGTCCCAGCTGTCTTGCAGCCTAAGCTCTGATAGCTGCCTACTCCAAGAGAATGGCGGCAAGAGTCCAGACCATTCTGAGGAGCCCGTGTCCTACGACTCAGACCTGGGGACAGCAAATGCTGAGGATTCAGACCCGTCTCTGCAAGAGTGAGTGCTCCTCCCCCGCTCTTCCCCCACTCTCTTCCTGCCTGCCTCCTTCTCTTCCTCTTCCGAGTCTCCCTTCCTATAGCATGTGATTGCCTGTCATTGAGCACTGACCTCTCTAAGGGCATAAAGAGAGACAAAGGGGACGTCGGCTGTCTTCCTCAGGGACTGGAGGCCACATGGGGCTGTGAGGAGGATGGATTTAGGTAGGGCTCAGAGCTGGGCCAGGCTCCATCCAGTGCTGCCCCTGGGTGAACTTCCGCAAGTTACCTCATTTCTCTGAGGCACATTGTAAAATATTATTGCCTCTAGAGGGAAGGAAACTAACAGTTCAGGGTGATATTTACAATTCCAAACAATGCAATGAAGCAGAACGGATAAGGGTGCTCTTCTGTGACCTCCCAGAAGGCCTCGGAAGGACACAGACCCTGAACAGTGACTGGAGGATATGGCAGACAAAAGGGGCCAACAGGTGGGTGGAGGAAGAGTCCATGGAACAAAGAACTTGACTGGAGGAGGGAGCCTGGACAGAGCCTTCTCTTTAAAAAAATTTTTTTAATTTGAATATAGTTGAGACACAATGTTCTATTAGGCTCAGGTGTACAACATAGCGATTCACCATGTCTGGGTTATGCCATGCTCACCACAAGCAGAGCCTTCTTTATCCAGGCTTTTTAACAGTAATTTTTGAATAGATGATCTCTTTTTATGGTTAGAAAAAGGCTAAAATGCATACGGTGAAAAGCCTTTCACACCTCTGTCACCACAGTTATTAATTCCTTAGATTTTCTTCTGATGTTTCTAAATGCATCTAACAAATACGAATATACAGATTTTTTAAATGTTTTTTATTTCTTGTCCCTGCCCCCTTTCCCACAAAAGATATTATAAATACACTGTTTGACATCTTGTTTTGGAAGAGATCATATCAGAGTTTTTGTTTTGGAGTGTCCTATCAGAGCTTCTTTATTATTTTTTTTTAATTGCCTGTTTTTCCATCGCTGGTTAGTTTATTTAACCAGCCCTGTATCTAATGGGCATTGGAGTTCACATTTTTAGAAATAACTTTGTGTATGTGGTCTCTTAAGTCTATGCAAGTAACTCTGGTCAGTCAATTCCCAGAAACAGAATTGCTGAGCCAAAGGATACATTAATGTGTGGTTTTCACAGATACTGCCTGGTTACCCTCTGTCAGGGATGGGCCTTTGTCCTCTCAGCCTTGTCAGCAGAACGTATAATCAAACTTTTGGATATTTTCTCCTCTAATAGGTAGAAAATGGTAAATTTTATTAAGTACTTCCTTCAGCCGTGCTCCCGCAGCCTGTGTTTAGGACCTTCTTATCTACTCCTGGGTGCTCCCCACCCTCTTGGTTCAGGCCTTTACAGGGTTCCCAGCTGGTGTAGGAATAACACCGGATTGGGTGCTGGTGTGGACTGGCTTGCAGTGGATCTAGTTTCAAGTCCTGTTCTACCACTTACAAGTTCAGTAACGGCTGCCAAACTGCTGACTCTTTGAAGTTGTTTCTTCATCTTTAAAATGGGGACTCCCGCGGGACGCCTGGGTGGCTCAGTCGTTAAGCTTCTGCCTTCGGCTCAGGTAATGATCCCAGGGTCCTGGGATCAAGTCCCTCACTGGGCTCCTTGCTCAGCGGGGAGCCTGCTTCTCCCTCTGCCTGCAGCTCCCCCTGCTTGTGCTCTTGCTCGCTCGCTCTCTCTCTCTCTCTGACAAATAAATAAATCTTAAAATGGAGACTCCCTCAAATGGCTGTCTGCGAATCAGATCAGATGCCTGGGAGTGAGCTGCACACATAACAGCGTCTGGTAGACCCCTGAAGTGGCTTCTGAGCGCTGAGCACATTAGCTAGAACTTTCAAATGTCAAACGGAAGAATTTAGATAGAACATGCTGGAAAGGAGCAATCCCCACCTATCCACTGGGCGGGTGGCGTGACTTGGGTTCGTTCACCTATCTGAGCCCTTCGTTCGCTCCCTCCTCCCACAGGCCAGCCATGTGTCTTTGTCATGTGTCTTGCTTTTATATTTCATGAGTCTTGTGATTGGAAAATGTCCAGCTTCAGGTCATTGAATCAGTGACCGTCCACCCTGTGTGGGAAGTGTTGTCCTGGGCGTTATGGGAGAACTCGAGGGAAGAGGGTCAGGACGTACAGACCAGCACTGGGCAGTGGTGTGAGGACCAGCACCCACTGGGAGCACACAGATGCACAAAGACACCCCAGCACCAGCTCTTCTTAGGGGGTATGTCTTAAGAGTAAAGATTCTCATCAATGTTTAAGAGTTCCCTTATTTTTATTGTATTACTTAAATATTTGTAACTTAAAATTAGGCATAAATAACATGGGTTTATAACTCCTACAACTGTAAAATCAAAACACTGACAGATTAAACAGAAAGTACAAAAGACATAACATTCCAAGTGAAATGTACTAATTTAATCTTTTCTGGAAACCAAAGTGCAGTTTGCTTTGTGAACAGAGGATTGATGCCCTGAATAGCTTCGGTACCACTTCAGAAGCAGAGCCTGAAATTCTTCTGTGCTTTAGAGGTGGTGTTGCCGTCCTATGAGTGCAGGAGTCCTGGAGTTGGCATGGCCGAGGAGCCTTTGGAGAAGCTGGAAGAAGGTCTGTTTATGGTGGGGGTGGGGGTGGTGTGGAGCGGAGGTAGAATCTCTCTTTCTTTCTGAAACTCATCTTTTCAGATATATCATCAAGCCCTCCCCTTGCTAAGCTACTAAAACCCTGGGCAAGCTTTTCTACCGTACAATACAGGTTTTTATCATACACAATACCTAAAAGAACTTAGCTTTACAATTCTAAAACTGACTTTCTGCCAAGAAGTTTAGGAAGAGGGAAATAATGTTTTTCCCATTTTTGGTTAAGAATCTGCCTTGTGCTAAAAAAAAAAAAAAAAAAAGAAGAAGAATTTGCCTTGTGCTAAAATAGTCCTTTAAATACAGATCTCTTGTAGCCTTCAATGATCCCAGCAAAATCATCATCTAAAGATTTAAATAAACCCTTGTGCAAATGTTCAGTCCTTTGCCTCCTATAAAAGGGCTGGTGTGTAAAGAATCAAATATAGATTCCTAGAAAAGGTATTCCAATTGGTACTGATTTTTCCAGAGTCCGTAGCACTTCGGCTTAGGGTTTTAAGGCAGAGGCAGGGCTGTTAGCAAATGGAGGGAAGTAGGTTCCCATGGGTGATGCTCAGGAAAAGACCAGGTCATGTGTGCTACCACCTAATCTTTCTCACTCTGTGATTCCAGCCCTTGATGCCCAGGAGAGTAGGTAGGGTCTGTAGGATTATAGTTTCAACTTGTCCATTTGAAATCTGTGAGTGATGTGAGATTTGTGCCACCTTCTTGGCTTGCATCTCCCTTCTGGTACTTCAGGAACTTCTGGGGTAGATCAGGGCAGTAAAAATGTGCCCGGCCAGGATATACCTACAGCAGAGCCGTTCCACCAAGTGCTTGTCTTGTGCCTGCTCTTAGTTGCTAAGATAATGATCTACGAATCATGGATGCACTTTCATATCTAAACACATAACATAAAAATCAGTTATCATTCAGCTAGGTATTTTAAGTCCATTTGTTTTGGTTGAATTTAGGGCCATTATCAGTTCTGATGAAAAGGAAGACAACCCAGAAGCTTGCTATTCAGAAGGCTGTGTCAGATGCATTCCAGAAACTGTTGATTGTGGTTTTAGGTAAGACTTTCTTGATTGTCCTTTACTTCTTTCTTTTCTTTTCTTTTGATTTTCCTTAAACAACTTCAGTTTCCATGAGCAAATAAACTCATTTTGAGAAGTTAGTTGGATGAAAACACTTCACATTCTTTTATTCACCAAATGCTTTCAAAGCAGCAGTCTCAAATTTGTTCTTTGTAGTATTTGTGAGGAAAAATGACAGTAAATATTATTGTCCCCAGGGTATACATATACAGTGACTTGCCTCCTCATAGAAAATGCTTGATCCAGTGTTCCTTGATTGATTGCCCATAACACAAAGTAGTATAGTGATTGTAAGCTTTGGACATCTGTTGTTGAATCCTAACTCTGTCTCTTAGATTTCTGATGCAGTTTTAGGTTTTATAGTCAAATTTGAAGGTATTTAGTCTCTTTAAGCTGCAATTTCTTTATCTGCAAAATAAGGTTAATAAATCAGCTTACCTCATGGAGATATAGCAAGAATAAATGAGATGATGAATAAAAAGCTTAGAACTATCTCTGGAACGTGGTAAGCAGACAAAATATGTTAACTTCTTATCATTATTATTTTCCTGTTGGAGAATTTATTAGATTATGCTTTTGGAATCAATTCAGTTTCAGTTTTTGTTTCTGGCACTGACATATTGGGTGACCATGATTCTTATGTAATGATCAGCTACATTTTTGTGAACCTTGAAAGTGGCCATCCTATTGAATGATGTTGATTGTATTCCCTATTGAGTTCTACAGTAGTATGAATGTTATAGGCTGTGCTCAAAGGAAATTTTACTTTTTTTAAATATTCTTTTATTTTAAATAAAATAAAAGAGGGAGGCAGGGGAGGCGTAGAGGGAGAGAGAGAATCAATCCAGGCTCAAAGGAAATTTATTTTATTCATTTTATTTTATTTTATTTTATTTTATTTTATTTTAATAAAAGAGGGAGACAGGGGAGGAGTAGAGGGAGAGAGAGAGAGGGAGAGAGAGAGAGAGAGAATATCTTAAGTAGGCTCCACACGCAGCACGGTGCCCCATGCAGGGCTTGATCTCACAATCCTGAGATCCTGACCTGAGCCGAAATCAAGAGTGGGACACTCAACCGACTGAGCTACCCAGGTGCCTTTTTTTCTGGAAATTTTATAATTAGTGGAGAGTCCCCAAACAGTTGCTCCCCTGCTTCAGAGCCTTGAGTCTTAAAGACTAAGAAATCCTAGCTACGTTTCAGAGACCTTATTTGCTTGTAAGAGTTGACCGTGGATTGGTCTCAGGTTTCCAGCCTGGGCAAGTCTTCCCGTGAAGACTGACTTCCCTGGTCATCAGGTAGACTCTCCATTAGCTGTCAATTCTGAATGACAACCTTTAAGAAGCAAACTAAGCGTTTGGGTTGTTGACCTCTCCATAATATGCTATGGTATCCCTTGCACAATTTCAAAATTCCTTAGACTAAAAAGTCTTGTAGCTGTAGTTTGCCCTAAGGTAAATTGTGTTGTCTATAAGTTACATGGGCCTGTTTCTGCCAATAAAGTGTTCAAATGCATGCCCTGCCCACCCCCCTCCAAAGCATTGTTCATTGTATCTGGTGGGATTTGGGTTCTCAGGGAGTAGATACTTGCCTTATTTCTAATATGAAGTATCAGCCATAGGCCAGTGGTCTCTATTCCAGGTTTGAACTTACATTGACCCCTATCTAATGTCTTACTGTTTAATCATACTATGATTGAACAGTTTTGCTTCCACAGTTTTAACGTCCTATGTCATTATTCCTTAGTTCCTATCTCTGAGATCATAAAGTTTTTTTAACCACATGGTTGATAACTTCACATATATTTTTTCACAGATAGTTATGATAGTGGTGCCTAAGTGGCTGAGTCGGTTAAGCGTCTGCCTTCCGCTCAGGTCATGATCCCAGGTCCTGGGATAAAGCCCTATGTCGGACTGCCTTGCTCAGTGGGGAGTCTGCTTCTCCCTCTCCCTCTGCCCCTCCCCCCTGCTCGTGTTCTCTTTATCAAATAAATAAATAAAATCTTAAAAAAAAAGTTATGATAAAAACTGAAGTGTGAGATGAGAAAACTTCTGAGAAGATGCTTTTATTTTCTGCTTTTAGAAATCAAAAGAATGTCTATGGGGCAGCTGAGTGGCTCAGTTGGTTAAGGTCTGCCTTCGGCTCAGGTCATGATCCCAGGGTCCTGGGATTGAGCCCCTCATCAGGCTCCCTACTCAGCAGGTTGCTTGCTTCTCCCTCACCCTCTCCTGTTCCCCCTGCTTGTGCACTCTCTCTGTCAGATAAATAAATAAAATAGTTTTTAAAAATCAAAAGAATGTCGGGCGCCTGGGTGGCTCAGTTGGTTAAGCGACTGCCTTCGGCTCAGGTCATGATCCTGCAGTCCTGGGATCGAGTCCCGCATGGGGCTCCCTGCTCAGCGGGGGGTCTGCTTCTCCCTCTGACCCTCCCCCCTCTCATGCTCTCTCTATCTCATTCTCTCTCTCAAATAAATTAAAAAATTTAAAAAAAAATCAAAAGAATGTCTAATTACTAGGTGCTATCCCAGTTATATTCAGGAAGTTTTAGAACAAGCAAAATTTTGATATGCTACTTGTTAACTTCATTTCAGAAAGTGGTAAAATAGCTGTGGAATATAGACCCTGTGAAGAGATTACAGATGCCAGAACCGAAGAGGAGCTACAGGATTTAATTCAAGTATGTGCAGATTAGAGCTCGAGGATTCCACAGCCAGTGTAGCCATAATTTAAAGCAGCCGGCAGGATTTGGAAGACTTGGGCACGTACAGTTAGCTCTATCATCCTTTGGGAAATGTACAACTCAGAAACTGCTTTTGAGTGCAGAGAATCTCTGGGGCTTTTCCTGAAGTCCTGGCCCTTGGCTCTGACCCCTTATTTCAAATTTGGAGAGCAAATTGCATCAGAATACTCCTACTGTTGTGGACATAGGAGAGGACACAGCCTTTTAGAGCTCCCCTCCAACAGAATCTCAAGGATTTGGGAACAGAGCAACTCTGGTCTTAAGTGAGATTATGCTACAGTGTTTGAAAACCATTATGCCTTTCAAATAAGGTGTATTACCCAGATGTCAGCATCTCATACATACCTTGTATGAAATATTTTGCTGAAGAACTTTTCTGTAAATCACTTATATCAATGCCCTGAATTAGGGATTAAGTTGCCAAAGTAATTTCTAAAAGAAGATATTAATATACTGCATATAGAATGTTTAAAAAAAAAGGAGAAAAGGATGTGTTTCATGTCATTGAAAACTTAATTTAGGGCTAGATTTCTGATTATTTAACTCACTCCAAAGCTGCAAAGTTTGTTTGTTTTGAAGGGAAGAGTGGAGAAAGGAAAGATGGTTACTTTCTGAAAAAGTATTTGAAGTTTTTTTTGTGTGCAAAAGAATTATTTTAATTCAATTTAAATCAAGCCAGTCAAGGAAACTTCAGACTTATCCAAGTTTACACTTTAAGAAGTCTAGCTTCCTGTGAAACGTGAAAGAGATTCCGTATTGATGCTAAAGGTTTCAGAAACCTGATTGGAACAACAGATCCATTCCTAAATAAGGCCAGTCTTGGAATCCGTTCCATTTAAAAACCATTACTATGTGCTAGACGCTGGGAATAAGATAAAACCCTTCTCTCTTAGGGTTTGCGTGTTAGAGCTTGTGCCAGACCATAAAAAGGACTCAAATAAAACAGATTGTGAAAAGGGCTGTGAAGGATGTAAACTGTTGCAAACTACGTGGCTAGTTACAGTATTTCAAGAAAATTGTTTAACATGCTAACTTGAACATCCTAAGTGCCTTCTCCATGTGCACACACAGGGTCAGACCTCTAAAAAGTGGTGGTGTTACTTTTTCTAGACTGACGGCTGTGTTGAATCAAGGTGGGATGGGGGAGGTTTTCCCATGCCAGCGTAAATAGAGGGCTATTCTCTTGGTTTCAGACCCTCATTTCCAGAATGAAATGCTCACCTGCCCCCTCAACCTCCACCCGAAACCCCTCCTACAGAAATTTTGGAGACATCACTGATTCAGTGGTAGGAAGCCTCCTAACAGAGTGGCGACTTAATGCTCAGACATGCGTATTGAGAATTTAGAGGAAATGGCAACATCTTAGAATAAGTCACTGTAAAATGTGTTCCCTTCCCCACTGCCCTGCCTGGTGCTTATTCCGCAGGTCAGCTACTTTTCTTGGAAGCAGGATGGCCGAGGGGAGGAAGAATGTCTCTCGGATTTAAGCTTTGAAGAGGCCGAGTTCAAACCGCCAGAATTGGACTAGCGTTTTTTAATTTCCCGGGATGCCGGTCCTGTGGCGTCCTTGGGAAACTGTCCCCTGCCCCCTTCCACCCCAGAGCTGCTGCAGTCCGGGCCCATCCTGCCTCGCTGTGAGCCCCAGGAGGGGCTTGTGCCCTTCGTAGGGGGAAGGGAGGCTTGGGCCCTGGTGATTTTGGAAAAGGGGTGGGCTCAGCCTCCTCGGGGAGCTCTACAGGCTGAGCTGGGGCCTCCTGCTGGATTGGAGAAGCCTGAGCCTCCTCGGTGCGCTCTGGAGGCTGAGTTAGAGTTACAGTAAGTACCAGATCCACAGGTTTAACAGTGACGTTGGAGAAGTTTGGCCACTGAGCTTCATTCTTACTTAGAGATGTCATGTGCTATTGGTTGAGGTACCATCTCCTTAGATGGCCGTGGAGGTTGAGCTGGGGCCTCCTGAGGGTTCGAAAGTTCTACCTCCTCAGAGGCCTCTGTCGGTTGAGCTGAGGCTTTCTGTTGGACTGGAGAAAGTTTGACCCAGGGTCAAACTCCTGGAGCCCTCTGCTGAACTGGAGATGTTTCTATCTCCTCAGGGGGCTCTGTCGGTTGAGCTGAGGCCTCCTGAGGGGTCGAAGGTTCTACCTCCTCAGGGGCCTCTGTCAGTTGAGCTGAGGCTTCCTGCTGGAGTGAAGAAAGTTTGATTTCTTCAGGGGTACTTGAAAGCTCAGCCAGGGCCTCCTGTGGGTTTATAGCTTCCTTAAGGATCTCTGGAAGCAGAGATGGAGCCCCCTGCTGAATTGGAGATGTTTCTATCTCCTCAGGGGGCTCTGAATGTTGGGCCTGGGCCTCCACCTGAGGCCAAAAAGATTCAGCTTCCTCAGGCAACTCTAAATGATTTGGGGTCTCCTGCAGGAGTGGAGGAATTTCAGCCCCTCAGGGAGCTTTGGAGGTTGATCTGATCCCCCTGGGAAATCTACTGGTAAATTCACCATACTGGAATCTGAATAACCATCCTGCAACTGTTGTTGTAGGTGGTCTTTATTTGCAGCGTGGGTCACTGCGCCCCAGAGCCTCCGCGTGTCATGTCCCGGCTGCGCCTCTGGGCCCCACTGCTGCTCCGCACGTGGCAATCATTGTGGCTGCTGGTCCAGGCAGCTCAGCCTCCGGAGTGGGCCCTGGACCATGCCCAGCTGACCGCCGACCTGCTGGGGCCCACCGAGCCCTGGTCTTCACAGTCCTCTCAATTCCCGCCCGAATTGCTCCAGGCACTTACACCCTTAAAATTCCCTGGAATATACTTTGCAAAAAGAGAACAAAGCATATCTCAGTCCTCCAGACTGAAGAGGAGCATCAAGTAGTAGTAGGTGGGAAAGTGGCTTTGATTTTCAGTTTGTGGGTTCTGAATCTATTATAAAGATAGAAGATACTCTGGAAATCTAAATTAACAGTTGTCCTTACCTCAATGAGACAGGAAACTATAATCAAAATCATCACTACTACAGTCACAGATATTGCCAAGATGAGTTTGTTGTTATAGCCATAACCTGGAACTCCTTTTATGAGCTAAAAAAAGACAGAACAATTTTTTTTAGAAAACAAAGAGACAAGATGAAAGCTAGCTATTCTTCAGCTACTCTAAAATAGACCCCATTCTTTCAGATGAGTGGCTTACAGGTTCTTAAGGAACACACCAAATCTAATGTGTTATGTAATCTTACCATTAGCATTTTCTTCAAAATTTTATCTATCTTGTATGTTAGGTCCCCTTCTCATCTACCCTGGGGATAGTGGCACTGTTCTCTAAATGAGCAAAGTGGCAGATCACTGTCTTAGCCAACGTTACCTGGCCAAGACAAGACCCAGACTAGGAGCCCCCTGGCCTATGTGCTTGGGTGCTTTCATGGCACGTCCTAAACTGACTCAAAGTCCAGATCCCATGTTTTAGGAGTTGTCCTCACCTCGCTGGACTCCTGCCCTTTCTGTTCACTCTGGACTCCTGTGCTCTCATTGATGTAGTTCTCAGTCTTCCATTGGTCCGTATCCCACTCTGCCTTGGACACCTTTACTTCTTGCTGCTCACTGAGAAGCTTCATCAGGAGGCCTGTTCTGGAGATGAGCTTGGCACAGGCCAGTTGCACGTGGCTCTCAGAGCAGTCCATTTTCAAAGTCCGGATAACGTGAGAAATGAGCCTTCTCACGTCGTTGTTCGGGATGAGGGACCATAGCTGCTGGTTTAGCTGAATTTCAAAGAGGTCACCTGGGGCTGAGAGCTTCGACCCAGTGAAGCCTGTGGGCTTCGGGGGCAATCCAGTGCCCACGCTGTGGTATATCCGTCGTGATTCATTGGTTTGTTTAACAGTTGACATAAAGTTGCCTGTGGTGGCCACAGAATATGCACTGGAAAGATTCTTATGGTTCCTGAATGCAGGGAGGGTTTGTTCTGGCACAGTCATGTTTCTTGTAGAAACAGGTTTCTCAGAAACATTCTGTGCAGTAGTGTTTTCTACAGTAGTGTTTTCTCTAAAACGTTCTGAAAGAGGAAATAATTCTGGAAAAGGATTTTCCTGAGAACTCAGTTCTCCTGAAGATGGAAAAGCCTCCCGTGAAGGGGGAATTTATGAGGCTCCTGATGGCAGAGAACGGAGGCCTCTTTGCAAGCATCAGCCTATTACTGATAGGACTTCCCTTTCTGAATTTTCGACTCAGCTTGGCCTTGGGTGCTCTGTGGACCCCACGCGAGCGAGTTTTATGAAAGAGGTACTTTTTTCTGGAATGTGAGACTGGTTTAGAAGCCTTCATATTCCTAACTCTAGCATTTGCATCCTCTAAAACAAAAATGGTGTCGGTTAAGGCTTTTGATTTGTTTTTCACCTCAGGTAGGGATTTTGGAGGAGTGGAGGCAGAAGGCCTGCCCAAGGAGTACTGTTTCAGAAAAGAAGAGACTGCTGCCTTGTGCTCCTTTATGAATGAAGGCTCCGTATTAAAGGAGTCTCCCACTAATTTCCTGGGCCTCTGCGCCATGTGAAGCTGCTCCAGCTCCCTTGGGGACGGTCTACTGAGCCTTCTTTCTTTGGCCATATTCTCCACAAATGGCTGGGCATTCTGTTTCCCCTGGTTTCTCTGATTGCGCCTTTGTTTGAGGTACCTTTTCCGTAGGCCCTTTGGGCCCTTGATAACCTTCTTTACTCTCAGGAACTTTTTCCCTACACTCTCAGCCTTGGTGAGGCTCTTTTCCTGTGCTTGGGCAGTTTCCAATTTCTTTGGAAAGATTTGGCGTTTGAATTTGGGACCGAAAAGGCCGGAACGTATAAGCATGGCAGTTTTTTCTTTCTTTTTCACCTCATCAATTTTTTCTTGAATTTCTGCATCTAACAAATTTTCTAGAAAATGGAGTTTCCTCAGTTTATTTTTGTAAGTTGAATTGTTGGGTCCAGGTTTAAGAAAAGGGTTCCCTGTGTTGTTTGTCAAGGGACCCATGGGCTTGTCTCCGTCTTGCACATTTGAAAACAGAAGTTTAATGAATGGTAATAACGTTGATTCTACATCTTCTAGATTTCCCTCTGAGAAATAAGGCAATATGTAATTCAGCGCACTAATAACATCACTTTCATCATTAAAGTCTAGCTGCTCATTCATAAAGGCTAAACTGAAGCGATTTTTATCTGAGGATGGCTTCTCTTGCTCAGTTGTCAGCTCAGTACTGGTGCTCTTCTTCCGGGATTTCAATACCTTCATGAATGATCCTTCACTCCTTATAGATACTTCTTCATCTGTCAACAAAAAAGAGACTAGTTTTGACAATGAAAGACTGATAGTACAGCTTTTTGTCAGTCCACAGTCATACATCCCAAATAAATTAAGAACCAACAAATATTTGAGTACCATTTAGAGAGGAGACAAACTCAAACTTGAATCTATGATTGGCAACAACAAAAGGAGAAAAGGGTATTTTTTGAAAAAGCAGCTATGTACTCAGAACCTTCCATAGTGTGAATAACTGTATTTGGGATTATTCCATGGGTCCCCAAGGCTCGATTGTGCAGTACTCAAAAAAAGTCAAGGCTGGAAGACACTCAGCTAAACTGTGTGCAGATCTAATGTGACTCCTGGCATTCATATACCCCATCCTGTCCTGCTTCAGATGCTTCCTCCTTCCACTCTTCAGCATGCTTGTGTTCTTGCTGCCATCGCAGATGCCCATGACAACACCCACTGTTAGCAGGTCCTCATCTGGACATGCCCTCTCTACCCACCCACCAATTCCTTTGCTTGGTCCCTGCTCCCGTATATTGCAGCTCACATAACATAAGCTCTAAACAGAAAAAAACCCACTATGTCCACCCTGGCTCTTTGCTTACATTTGGGCAGGGATCTGGGGTCTAGGTGAAGAGATTTCCCAGGTGTGAGAGATAGGTCAATGTGGAATGTTCAATAAATCAATGGAATGATACTTGAGGTTTTAAAATGCGGAAGGGATAAAGAATCTTTTGCCAGATGCCTACTTCACTTTCATTTCTAATATTTCCAGCTTTATTTACGGAACTGTCCAGAGCTTCCAACTACCTGAAGGTCAAGTGTACAGCTTGTGTAGACTGCACAGCATTGTGCTGCTGGGTTTCTTTTCCAGAAGAATTGGAAGTATTTTTAGTGGTGGTGGTGAGGGTCAGAGGAGGTCACGAGAAAGGAGGAGCAACAGGCTTGCAGAGAGTGCAAAATGAGACACTTGAGTGCTAGGCTACAGCCCTTAACACCTCTGATCACAGTTTTCCTCACCTGTAAAAGGAGATTAAACATGCCTATTCTGTCCACCTCTAAGGGAGAAGGGAGCAATATGATTGGTAAAAAAATTGTTTTGAAAAATAAGCAACACTGTACTTACAGAAGTAGCAAAGTACTATTTCTGATGTACCCTAGATCATTGATAAGGACCCGTATTCCATCTATCCAAGGGCAAAAGCACATTTTGGAAGTCATGAAGTTAGTGCCAATAAAACATAGTATACAGAAAAATTCTTAAAAGCCCCTGAGTGTTTTTGGACAGAAAAGCTTAAGATTCAGAACAAATTCAGAGTTAGACAATCCAAGAATAGAAGAGCCCTCTCTATCCATTAGAAGGTAGCAGCTTCTGGTTAGGGAACAGAAAGTCTAAGCCTCTGAATAAAACTTTTTTTATAAATCAGCATTACTTTTACTCTTATATTACTTGTAAAAATAAAATAAACAAAAATGTATCTTTACCTGTCCTATAGGACAAAGGGCACCTGAGATCTAATGCATATAAAATCGTTTACAGGGCCGTCTGGGTGGCTCAGTTGGTTAAGCGACTGCCTCCGGCTCAGGTCATGATCCTGGGGTCCTGGGATCGAGCCCCGCATCAGGCTCCCTGCTCAGCCGGAAGCCTGCTTCTCCCTCTCCCACTCCCCCTACTTGTGTTTCCCCTCACGCTGTCTCTCTCTCTCTCAATTAAATAAATAAATAAAATATTTTTAAAAAATCAGTTTACAAACTGTGATGCACTATATGAACTAGTTTTCATTTGGGGGTAATTAATTTAATAACATAACTGAGAATCTGACTTTTAACAAAGGAATAGTTCTTAGAAATTTAGAGATCTGAGGAGTGTTTGGGTGGCTCAAGCATACAACTCTTGGTTTTGGCTCAGGTCATGATCTCAAGGTCACGGGATCGAGCCCCACATTGGGCTCCACACTCAGCAGGGAGTCTGCTTGAGATTCTCTCCCTCTGCCCCTCCCTCGACTCATGTGTGCTCTCTCTCTCAAAATAAATAAATAAATCTTTCTTTAAAAAGAGAGACTTAGGGATTTGACTCTGAATGAATAAACATAATGCAATGACATCATTAGTTAAAAATTTTATCATTGTTGATTAAAAATAAAAAAACATAAATAAAATAAAAATTAAAAAATTTATCATGAGGCAATTCAGACTCACCACAATGTGTGGCATTTGTCAGACATTCACTGTCACAATGCAGCTTGACTGTCTTGCAGACAACCTCAATATTATTTTTGAATTGGCAGAGACAGCAGGCCATATGGCTAGGTAAAATCCTATAAATGGAAACACAGAGAATTAAATTAGTGCTAAAGGACTTACTTGAGTAGGCATGCCAAGGGCATCACAGGGCTGTGCAAAAAGGAATTCTTGAGGCATGTGGCCTGGATGTTTGGGTAGGGACCAGTTGGCCAATTGCTGCTCTTGCGTATTGTAAATAAACAGAAGGACCGAGGTGTCCAACAGAAAGGTAAGGATGGTAGGGGGGATGGTGTGCCTAGAATCAGATAAAGATGAGAACTGGGTGACGCTGATCTGTAGTTTAGTTCAGAAGTATCTCCTTCCACCCCAAAAGTCTCACTCTGGGTTGAGAGCACACAGGAAGAGGGTAGACTTCTAAGAAGAGTCTGAGTAAGTCTGAAATATGACCCATACTGAAGATAGAAAGCAATCAATCAAAACTGACCCATAATCTACACAGATATTACCATTAGCAGACAAGGACATTTAAAAAGTTGTTGTAACTGGGGTGCCTGGGTGGCGCAGTCATTTAAACATCTGACTCTTGGTTTCAGCTCAGGTCATGATCTCAGGGTCGTGAGATCAAGCCCCACACTGGGCTCCTAGCTCAGCGTGGAGTCTGCTTGAGATTCTCTCTCCCTCTCCCTCTCCCTCTGCCCCACCCGCTCATGCTCTCTCTCTAATAAATAAATCTTTTAAAAAAAGTTATAACTGTATTTCATATGTTAAAAAAAACCCAGACTAAAAAACCCATGCCTCTACTTAACTCAGTGAGTTGTACAACAACTTCAAGTGGCCTAATATATGTGTACTTAGAGTGAATGAAGGAGAGGAAATAGAAGACATTTTGAAAAAATAATAGCCTAAAATTTCCCAAACAGGCAAACCCAATAAACCCACAAAACCGAGAAGGTCAATAAACTCTAAGCACAAGAAACATGGACAATTGGGGTGCCTAGGTGGCTCAGTCGTTAAGCGTCTGTCTTCAGCTCAGGTCATGATCCCAGGGCCCTGGGATCGAGCCCCGCATCGGGCTCCCTGTTTGGCGGGAAGCCTGCTTCTCTCTCTCGCACTCCCCCTGCTTGTGTTCCCTTTCTCGCTGTGTCTCTCTGTGTTAAATAAATAAATAAATAAATCTTAAAAAAAAAAAAAAGAAACGTACAAAACTACATGAAGGCACATCATAATCAAACTGCTCAAAACCATCAATAAAGAGAACATCTTAAAAGCAGCCAAAGGAAAAAACAACACACACAACATATAGAGAAACAAAGATAATAATGACAACATATTTCTTGTTGGAAATAATGGAACTCAGTCTTTAAAGCAGTGAAGAGGAGAGGGGACCCAACAACTATCAACCTAATATTCTATATTCAGATCTCTCAAAAACAAAAGCAAAACAAAGACTATCTGAGACTTGCAAAAGCTGAAAGAATTCATCACTAGTAGACTTACACTGTAGAAATGCTAAAGGAAATATTTTTAAGCGGAAGGAAAATGATACCAGATGGAAATGTGGATCCACATAAAAGAATGAGGAACAGTAGAACTGGTAACTACATAGGTAAATATATAAGATTTTTCTTACTATTTAAATATCCAGGGGCGCCTGGATGGCTCAGTTGGTTAAGCGACTGCCTTCGGCTCAGGTCATGATCCTGGAGTCCCAGGATCGAGTCCCGCATCGAGTCCCGCATCGAGTCCCGCATCGGGCTCCCTGCTCGGCAGGGAGTCTGCTGCTCTCTCTGACCCTCCCCCCTCTCGCGCTCTCTCTCTCTCATTCTCTCTCTCAAATAAATAAATAAAATCTTTAAAAAAAAAAAATAAATATCCAAATACAATGTGATTTCACTTATATGTAGAATCTTTAAAAACAACAACAACAAATGAACAAACAACAACAACAAAAAAGAGAGAAACACACTCATAAATATGGAGAACAAACTGGTGGTTGCTAAAGCAGAGAGGGTGGGGATATGGTCAAAATAGGTGAAAAGGATTAAGAGGTACAAACTTCCAGTTATAAAACAAATAAGTCACCAGATGAAAAGTATAATGTAGGGAATACAGTCAATAATACTGTAATACACTTATTGTGGTGAGCATTTCAAAATGTATGTAATTGTTGAATCACTATGTTGTACATCTGAAACTAATTTAATATTACATCAACTATACTTCAATAAGAGAGTTAACTTATTGGTTAAACAAAAAACATAATATGGTGTGATGTTTATAAGTAAAAGTAGGGGCACCTGGGTGGCTCAGTCGTTAAGCGTCTGCCTTCGGCTCAGGTCACGATCCCAGGGACCTGGGATCAAGCCCCACGTCGGGCTCCCTGCTCAGCGGGAAGCCTGCTTCTCCCTCTCCCACTCCCCCTGCTTGTGTTCCCTCTGGCTGTCTCTCTCTATCAAATCAATAAATAAAATCTTTATTAAAAAAAATAGTAAAATGTATGAAAACAATAGCACAAAGGCCAGGAGCGGGAAAATGGCAGTATACTATGCATTGTAAGGTTCTTATACCAATCACGCAATCATATAATATAATTTGAAGACAGACTGTGATAAGTTAAAGATGAACACTACAAACCATTAAGCAACTACTATAATAACAAAACCTGAGTTGTAACTAATTAGTCAACAAATAAAATAATAAAATGTACTCAGTCAATCCAAAAGCAGGAAGAAAAAGAAAAAAAAAAAAAAGAAACAAAGAACAGATGGGACACATAGAAAATATTAGACAGTAGCTTTAAATGTAATCATATATATACTTACATTAAATATAAAAGGTATAATCACCCTAATTAAAAGATAGAGTTGTCACACCAGATAAGAAAGCACAAGCCCAAACTACATGCTGTCTACAAGAATGATCTTCAACAGAAAGATACAAGTAGGTTAAAAGTATGGAAAAAATTATGCTATGCTAACACTAATCAAAATAGACCTTGAGTGGTTATATTACTATAAGACAAAGTCAATTTCAGCAAAGAATATTACCAAGGATAAAGGAGGTTATTCCATCATGATAGAAATGTCAACTAATAAAAAAGACATAACCTAAATATTTATGCATCTGATAAAAGAACTTCAAAATAGATTAAGGAGAATGGCAAAGAGAAACAAATACATACACAATTATAGTTGGAGATTTCAATACCCCTCTCTCAATAATTGACAGAAAAAAATATAAAAAATCAGTAAAGATATTATAGCCGACTTGAACACTATCAACCTACTTGATCTAATTGATATTTATAGATCACTCCACCCAAAATCAGAATACACGTTTTTTTCAAGTAGACACATAATATTTACCAAAATAGACCATATTCTCATCTATTACCAGAATACATGGATATAAAACAAGACTCAATAAGTTTAAAAGGATTTCAGTTATTCAACACATGTTCTGTGACCACAATGGAATTAAATTAGAAATTAACAGATTTGAAAAATCTCCAAATATTTGGAAACTAAACAATACATTTCTAAGTAACCCTGTGGGTAAAATAAAGCAAAAGGGAAATTAAGAACTATGTTTTTTACTGACTGAAACTGAAAACATGTCAACATGTGGGTGTTTGCTAACACAGTGTTCAGCTTCCCCAGCGTCCACTTTTAAGAAACTAGAAAAAGAAAATTAATCACTGAGTAAGGAGAAGAAATAGCATAATAAAGATCAAGGCAGAAATAAAATGGAAAACAGAAAAATAGAGAGGTCAGTGAAATGAAAAGACAGTTTTTAGAGAAGGTAAATAAAATTGATATACCTCTAGCCATATTGATCAAGACAAGACAAGAGAAGACACAAATTATCAATAACAGAAACGAGAGGGGTGACATCAATACAAATTCTACATATATTCAAAGGATGATAAGGGAATATTATAAACTAATTCATGTCAATAAATTCAAAATGAAATGGACAAGTCCTTAAAGACATAAACTACTCAAAAATAAATATGTAACTTAAATAGCACTATTAAAGAAATAGAGTGTGTAGTTTACAACCTTCTCACATAGAAAGCTTCAAACCCACATGCTTCACTGGTGAATTCTACCAAACATTTAAGGAAGAAATAATGCCAATTCTACACACACTCTACCAAAGAACTGAAGAGAAGGGAAAACTTCCCAACTCATTTTTAAGGCCAACTTTTGCTTTATCCAAACTAGACAAAGACATACAAGAAAAGAAAACAACAGACCAATATCTCTCATGAGCACAGATGCAAACTTCTAAACAAAATTTTACTATATCAAATCCAACAATATATGAAAAGATGCTAGCTACATTATGAAGTGGGGTTTATCTCAGGATTGCAAGATTGGTTTATATTTGAAAATCAAAGTAATTTACCCAACTAATAAACTAAAAAAATTATACAATCATTGTAATAGATGGAGAAAAAGTATCTGACAAATCTAACATCCATTCCTGGTTACAAATTAAAAAAAAAAGAAGCCCTTGGCAAACTGGGACGGAAGGAAACTTCATCTTGATAAGAGACTTCTACAGAAAAATCGCAAACATCATATTTAATAGTGAAAGACAAATGCTTTCTCTCCAAGATCAGGACAAAGGAAAGGGAGTCTTCTCTCATTACTTCTATTTGATAGTGCACTGAAGGTTCCAGTCAGTGCAATACAGCAAGAAAAAGAAAGAAAAGGTATTCAAAATGGAAAGGAAGAAGCAAAACTATATTTGCAGATAAAATGATCATCTATGGAGAAAACCTGATGGAATCTATAAAAAGGTTACTAGAACTAATAAACGAGTTTATCAAGTTTGCAGGAAAAAGATCAATATACAAAAAATTAATTTATCTCTAATACCTAGCACTAAACAATTAGAAATTGAAATTTAAAAAAATATTACTTATAATAGCATCAAAAGTATAAAATACTTAGAAAAGTCTGAAGAGATGTAAAAGGCTTACACACTGAAAACTATAAAATATTCCTGGGAAAAATTAAAGAACACCTAAATACATGAAGAGACATAAAGCGTTCATGGATCAGAA